AGGCGTATTCAAGCCTCTTGCGGTTCTGGCAGCTGGAGCCGCCTTCAGTCTTCGCTCCGCCACTTTGCGCCTACGTATGCAAATTAACCGCCATCTTTGTTGGTTAATTTGCATATCTCGCTGATTAGCCAATGTGAGGTGTAGTGAAGGTATGGTCAATTTTAATCTTTGTCTATTATTAGATAGGATAGATTTGTGCTTCATATTACTGGACTCAGCCCTTGCGTGTACTGAAAAGGCTGCAGTTGTCACACTCATAGGATTTTGTTTCCTTATGAAGCAGGTAATGGTAATCCCTGCCCTTCTTACTCTCCACATCCCTTCCCTGAGCATGTTATCAGCAGTCTTAGAACAGATCCGTGGCTGTAGTCGGACCTTCCAGCTGCAAGTCATTTTCAGCCCTGATGAGTGAATCCTCTTGTTAATGGTTCCTTTAAGAAGGAGAGAGAGAGAGAGAGAGAGAGAGAGAGAGGGAGAGAAGAGAAAGCAAAGACATGAAACTAGCCATTTGAGCAAGCTGATCAATGTTGGAGTCTGTAGTATATTTAGGCAGATGAGTAGTCACAGAGTATTTTACCAACCTAATATTTAGCTATTAACGAATACTTTCAAAACTGTAAAACTCATTAAGTTAATAGTACAACTACCCACACACAATTCAGCAAGTGGCTGTGGTAGTGTGCTCATTGTGTTTCTCTACTTGGAATGCTTTTCATTTCAGCTTGTCATGGGGCCTTTAAAGACATGATTTATGCTTCGTTACACCCTAGGGAGGTTAAGTATTTTCATATTTATTGCACGGAAGAGCATTCTATGATTGCTTGCCTGTCTTAAAATCGGTTTGGTTGGGAAAGGACACAGGAATTCTGACCTCAGCTCTATATCCAAACCAGGAGTCAGCGCTTGAAAAATGTGAATCAATATCTTGCCCAGAGAGTTTGTCTCATTCTGCTAACTGGAGGGAAGAACAGATGGTGGAGGCAGCATACACACAATGCTGCCTTTTCTTTAGTAAATCCACCTATATCCCCAATCCCAGAGCTCGGCTACGGTGACACAGGCCAAATACCTTTCAGCTCTTGAAGACTTCTCAGGCAGTTCTTCATCATCCACTGTATTATGTTCATTGCCGTCATAATTGCTATTCTGATCATTAAAACCCAAGTAGCATGAAGAGTAGATTCTGTTGTTGATGGTGATCTTACAGATCTGCGTGTGTGTGTACAGTAGTCCCCCCACCTGCAGGGGATACATTTCAAGACTCCCCATGGGTAAGTGAAACCGCAGATAGTACCAAACCCTGGACAATGTTTTTTCCTGCACATATGCACCTGTGATAAAGTTTCAACTACTCTTGCTCTTCGAGGCCATAATCAAGTGAAATAAGAGTGAGCTGAACACAAGCACTGCGATGCTGTGACAGTCGATCTGATGAGCAAGTTACTACTAAGTGACTAATGGGTGGGGAAGCGGATATGGCAGGGAGATGCTGGACAAAGGGGTGTGGGTGGGATGGGCGGGACAGCACAAGATTTCACCACTGTGCTCAGACCGGCGTGCAGTCTAAAACTTATGACTTACTTACTTCTGGCATTTTTCATGTAATATTTTCAGACCGCTGTTGATCACTGGGTAACTGAAACCTCGGAAAGTGAAACCACAAATAACCACTGCATTAATATTTTTCAAAATCTAACATTTTAGATGCCCCCTCTTCCTGTTATCTCATGTATCCCAGGTCTCTCACCACTTCTACAAGTAAATAGATATCCTTGCCTACTTTTCCCATTCCACCTGCCCACTTCTTATTTACCTTCCATGCAATCCTTGCTTCTCTCTCTTTTGGCAAGTCTCTTTAAAAAAAAATTGGGGGACCCATGCATGTTGTTCCATTCATCAACTAGATGGATTATATCCCCTTCGGCTCTCGCGTTCCCCTAGGACCAGTGGCTCAATGCCCATAGTTCATTTCTAATGGGTTCCTGGGCTGTGGAATCTCTATTTTTCTTCCACCCTACATAAATCTTTTAAAAATACTGTTTTTGTTTGATGACTTCAATTCTCAAAAACTTTGATTGTTTTCTTATTATCTAATGGATGATGTTAAAATTCCTTAGGCCAATACTTAAAGCCTTTTTAAAATGCAACCCTCATTTTCTTGTACTCCATGTAAGTTTCCTCTATTTCAATTCTGTGTGTCTTTTCCATACCTGTTACTATTCTGGGTGCTCCTTAAGCAATGGGTATAAGCACTATCGTTTTAACCTATTTGGGGAGACTGTATGCTCTCACAGTGCAGGTAAATAATGATAAAAGGTGTCCTGACTGGGTGGTTCAGTTGGTTGGAGTATCATCCTGATGCACCAAGGTTGCAGGTTCAATCCCTGGTCAGGGCACAAATAAGAATCAGCCAATGAATGCATAAATAAGTGGAGCAACAAATTGATGTTTTTTTCTTTCTCTCTCAAATCAATAAATTAAAAATTTTAAATATAAAATAATCCTATATAATAAAAGCCTAATATACTAAGTGTCTGGTAGTCCAGTCGGCTGTTCAACCAATCAAAGCGTAATATGCTAATGATATGCTAAGGCTGCTTAACCGCTTGCTATGGCATGCACTGACCATCAGGGGGGCAGACGATCCGACCAGTAGGTTAGCTTGCTGCTGGGGTCTGACTGATCAGGACTGAGTGAGATGGGCAAGACACACCCTGGAGCCCTCCCAGGGTCCCTCCTCAGCTGGCCAATCTCCCATGTCACTCCCTGGCCCTGATCGTGCACTGATGGGGTCCCTCAGCCTGGCCTGTGCCGTCTTGCAATCTGGGACCCCTCAGGGGATGTCAAAGAGCCAGTTTCAGCCCGATCCTGCAGGCCAGGCTGAGGGACCCCACTGGTGCACAAATTCGTGCACCAGGTCTCTAGTAATAATGATAAAAGGCAACGTATAATTAAGTATATACTGAGCCACATAGGTAAGCATCACTGAAATCTGGGGCTCCTGGGCCCGTTCTTGGTCTTTTCTTACTCTGCCTGCTGTTATCGTGGTCCTTTCCTATTCCTATTGGCTAATCCACATCCTAATCTGTTCCTTTGGCTTCAGCCTCATATAAATGCTGATCATGTTTCAATCTGTATTTCTCCACAGTCCTGGATCCATATTCCAACTTGCCTTAGCATCGTCATCTAAGATTTTCCAGTGCACTATGTCCAAACCTCAGGTCATCACCTACCCCTCAAACCTGCTCCGCCGCTTGCAATTCTTTCTGGGCATCGGTGTCACCGTCCAGCTTATCTTCCAGGTTAGGTACCTGCTGCCAGTCACTCATTTCTGTTGATTTCACCTCTGACACCGCCTCACAGCTTCTCTCCCACCTCTCCCGCCTCTGCTTTCACCTAAGACCCCATTTCCCCCTTTGGGGCTATGGCTGCAGCCCAGCAGGTTTCCTGTCACCTGTTTTCTGTGCTCCAGTCTGTTGTCCCACTGTGGACAGAATTAGCTTCTTAAAAACAAATTGTGCTGTTTTCGTGCTGAAAACCTCTAGTGGCTCCTGTCACATTCAGGATAAAATACAAAAGCCCATCTCGCGCCTAGGCAACCTCATCTTGTGCGTAGCCACACTGAATATGGAATCCGTTTCACACCTCTGCCTTCCCACATGTCGTTCCCTCTGCTCACGATGCTCTTCCCGCCGTCCTTATCTAAAGACAGTCATAGTTCAAATGTCTTCCCCATAAAACCCTTCCCCACGCTCTCAGTCAGGTTGGCCCTTCTGCGGGCTCCACAGAACTCCATGAAGTGACTGTTCGCTATTTCGGATTTTCCCCATTTAATATCTGGGACCCACAGACATACTGTGTGTCCCTCAAGAGAAGGGGCCACGCTCGATTCGTCTTTTCACCTGCATTGGAGCCAGAAGATAGTTTTGACTGAGTGAGTGAATGAACGTGTAATGAATGACGCTGGGGGCTGAGGATGTTGGGAGGGACTCTGTGAAGAGGGATTTTTGACTCCATCAGAAACCATCGAATTGAGCATCTGTTCAGTGCGAGTGCTCACAATCCAGTTATGAGGCAGGAATAATTACTTCCATTTTGCAGAGCTCGAAACTATGACTCAGGTTAAATTATTTGGTTAAGACTATATAGCTAATAGGCAAGAGTCGTGATGTTAAGTCAGATCGGTCTGGGTTCCAAGCTCATGCCTTGTCTACCATGTCAAAACGCTAGTGTCAAAGAATAAATCTTAAGAATGCATGACGAGGCCCTCCCCGAGGATAGTGATTTTGTGATTATGAAGCACTTGGGAGCTCGCAGAGGAAGCCTGTGGTTTTGTAGAGGACTAGCACTGTTTTCACAACTGGTCTCCCCGCCTGCGTCTAGATCTGCGGCCCGAACATTGTTGGACTCACAAAGGAAAACTGTTGCTCTAGAGTGACCGAGTTCAACTTCTCTCCTCCTCAACCTCCAGGGTATTGCGTGGAGGAAAATATTTCAAACCGCACCTGAGCTATAAACAATTTATTCCGAAGGTAACAGTGTTAGCGTTGCAGTATGTAAACCTTTAGCTAATAAAAATCAAAGTCGCCTGATTTGGAAAGTACACAGAAGGTCAGAGGGAAAGCTGGTAAATGTTTTCAAAGACTCTGGATTGAATTCTATCCCCAGCTAGCAAAATAAATAGTCCAGCTGCTAGCCCTGAAACAGACACGTGTTGCAAATGAAATGTTAATAGTTTAAACGCATTGGTCATTAGAAATCAAAAGAAACATGAAGTACACTTTCTAGTTTATGAGAAACAAGGTAAAAGTTCCCAAAATACATTTGTGGTAACTGTGCCTAAAATTGCTTCCTCGTCTTTGACTTTAGTGGCTAATCCTTAGTATGGTATATGTCTGACAGTGGGGCTTTTTTCCCCCCCTATGTAAATGCAAAGGTTTGGAAATAAATGGAGAGTGCAAATCAAGAGATATTAAATCCCACTTTTCCATGTGTCCAAGTGTTTGCTGTCGACTCAAGCTGCCTGCCGGACCTTCTGAGGAACGGGAGGTTACCCTCCACGACGTCTGAGAGTGACCTGATATTTAGCCAGCACATCTGCTCGCAAGCTCTGGCCCGTGTGAGGAGGCTGTGCCGAATTAATTAACTCTGCTTGGTACTCGCAACGATTTTCTCCACATCTTGTTTTACCAGTATAAAATATATAAAACTATTGGAATGTCTTTAGTTTTCCTTGAGAACTTAAACAACAAAAAAAGTAGTTTAAAAATAAGAGTCCATAATGCAGTGTTTCCTGTTTGAAGCAAATGTTAAGTTAAAGCATTAAAATTTGATTTCAATATTTGTCTCTAACTTAAAATTATGGTGAGTTCTATGACTTTAGTCTGTTATAGTTAATACCATTAAAATTTTTTAAAATTCTCAACCAAGGACATATTCATTGATTTTAGATGAGAAAGGAGAGAGAGAGAAAGGGAGAGAAACATCAATGTGAGAAAGAAACAGCAATTGGTTTTCTCCCATACACTCTCTGACTGGGGATTGAACCCACAACCCAGGTGTGTGCCCTGACTGGGAATCTAACCTGCAATTCTCAGTGCACAGGATAATGCTGAACCAACTGAGCCATTGTGGCTGGGCACTTTACCAGTTTTTTAAAATTAATGAAATGCACAAAACCATTGAATTATATACTTTAAACGGGTGAATTTATGGTATGTGAATTATCCTATATAATAAAGAGCTAATATGCAAATGGTCCTCACACCATCGCGCCATACGGGCTCAGACACTCAACACTGGGGAGATAGGAATGGGGACCAGCCAGGCACAAATGAGCTCACGAGAGAGGAATGGGGACCAGCCAGGCACAAATGAGCTCACGAGAGAGGAATGGGGACCAGCCAGGCACAAATGAGCTCACGAGAGAGGAATGGGGACCAGCCAGGCTGCGGCCCAGAAAAGGGACAAGCCGCCCACCCCGCGGTCCTGGGTGCCAGCAGCTGCGCCTGTGCCTGTGGCTCGGAAGAGGGACAAGCCGCCCTCTCTGCAGTCCTGGGCACCAGCGGCTGTGTCTACGCTTGCAGCCCGGGAGAGGGACAAGCCGCCCACCCCGCGGTCCTGGGTGCCTGCGGCTGGCCAGAGGGAGGGAAGCCCAGGTCCCAGGTACCTGCAACCAGTTGGAGGAGGGAATCCTGGGTCCCGGGTGCGGGGTGAGGCAGAGGTGGTTAGGGGCAATCAGGCCAGCAGGGGAGCAGTTAGGGGCGATCAGGAAGGCAGGCAGAGGTGGTTAGGGGCGATCAGGCAGGCAGGCAGGTGAGTGATTAAGAGCCAGTGGTTCCCAGATTGCGAGAGGCAGTCGGACATCTCCCAAGGGGTCCCGGATTGGAGAGGGTGCAGGCCGTGCTGAGGGGCATCCCCCCCTCCCCCCCCCATGCACGAATTTTGTGCACCGGGCCTCTGCTATCTCAATAAAGCTGTTAAAATTCAAAAACTGAGTGTAGTTAGGGAGTGTTCTGGTTAATGAATGTTCTAGGTAATTAAGGACTAATAAATTGCATTGAAACTAACATGTGAAAGGTACCCTTTGTGGGAATATGAATATGAACTTAAACGTTTTTTGTGCTTCATTGGGTGGTATAGTCTTTTAATGATGAAGTTTTAAAAATATGACACTTTGCTATCTACAGAGGATCTGAATAGAACTGTACTGTCACTAGCCACAGGTGGCTTTTGAGCACTTGAAATATGGTTACTCCAAATCAGATATGCTATGTAGGCAAAATACTGGATTTTAAAGATTTGGTATGAAAGAAAGAATGTGAAATTCTCGTTAATAATTTTTATATTCATTACGTACTTTGGATATGCTGGGTTATATAAAATACAGTATTAGGTATATTAGTTTCTTTTTACTTTTTTAATGTGGCTACTAAAATTTTTAAATTTCATTTGGGGCTCATATTACATTTCTCTTGGACAGGGCTGGTCTCCTAATCCTGACCTCCCCAGGACTCACATACTTTGAGAGAGAGTAAGACTCCTGATGACGAGGTAGAACTCAAGGAGTTCACTGAATTGACATGATGTTGATGGCTGCCCCTTCTCTAATTGAGAGTTTCTGGGAATGGGGGCCTGGGAAAGGCCCTGCTCTCACTGGTGGAGAGCTCTCAGGAGGCCACAAGTCCCATCCTAGGAACACAGTGGGTCTGGTAGGCACGCAGTTCCATAACCGAGCTAGCTCAATTGAAAAGTGGAGGAAAGACGTCAGGAGGCAGTTTTTCTTTGGCAAGAGAAGCAGGCATCGCAGGAGTAGAATTACAGCCTTAGGCAAGAAAGGGAAGGCCTCTCAGGCCGTGGACACCCTTTCAACTCTATTTTAGGAAAACTAAAAATGAGCACCTGCACCCAGGGCCCCATCCCCAGAGAAGGCAGCCCAGCCTGGGAGGACTCTGGGCTCCTGGCAGGGGTGACTCCCTCCGTGGCCACCTTACCAGCAGGCCTTGGGCTCAGAGCCTCTCTGTTGTCACACGCATGTTTGCATGTTTAATATCCCTGGAGGCAGCCGCAGCCTTGGCCGAGCTGCTGGTCTGGGCTGTCCTAGTCATCTCCCTTGGTATTAATTACTCTTCTGGTTAGTTCTCTGGTTACAAAGTTACATCGGTTTCAAGCGGTCTGCCCCTAACCACTTGAAACCGTTTTCCACCATAAACCCTCTTATTTTAAGAGTGTGACTTTGCAGGATGTGAGGTTTTTCAGAAGCGCATAGATCATGTTATAGAGGGAATATCCACGTGAACTTTGTCCTGCCCCCTCAGTAGACAAGTCTCAGGATGCCAAGGGGACAGGCGCTGCCACTGGGAGGTGTGTTCCTGGCATTTCACAGTGGACTCAGGTTGCGGCTGTTGGGTAGGTGGTCAGGTGCACCTGCGTTAATACTGTTTCTCTGAGGACATGGTGCATGTAGGACTCGGGCTGCCTCCGAACCATCTGCCGTGGGTACAACCTTATTTCTACGTGGAGGTGTCTTTGGCATTCTTGAGTTGTAAACAGCCAACTCTTTAATACACGTTTGGAATTCATTCTCTTTGCAAACTGGGCAAGTGCTTGTATGACTCTAGAAAACAGCCCCCCCCACCCCCCCACTCCTCGCCGCCACCCTCTCTATTTCCCCCACCCCCGCCCCACCACCACTTAGTGAGGCGAAAGTAGGAAATGTGAACTTTGGGAAGCTGAAGGTGGTAAAAAATCATAGAAATTAGAAGGTACTAAGTGGTAACATGAATTTCAAACTACCTTTCCACCTCTTCACTAATAAATACATCTAGACATAACTTACCTTGAGTTATTTTGTTTTCTCAGGCCTGCACCTCTGAAAGTCTTCAGAGAATAGATTTTTTTCACCCAGGTCTTTACTAATGTAGGAGAAATCCTTCCATGTGTTGAAATTCAGGGTTTAGGGGCTACTTTGGCACCATGTCAAATTAAAAGACATTGTCTGGGTTTTAATTAGTAGGGTGCCTTTTAGTGGTTGGCTGATCCTGCTGGAGAAGAGAGGGGCGAGTATTACAGCTAAAGTACATGGCCTTGAAGCCATGTTTCAGCTATGTGTGGTGCATGCATGTGTGTGCATGTGTGTGTGCATGCGTGTGTGTGCATGTGTGCGTGTGTGAGAGAGAAGAACAGAGATGGAGACTGACTTGTCTGCATATGTGCTGGCCTTTGGATGTGTGTGCTGAGTCTTTTGTTCAGGGCTGACATCCATATTCCAGGAACCCCTGGGGATCTGAGCTGAGCAGGACATAAGCAGGCGTGTCAGGGAGTCTCCATGCTTAGTGCAGCGTGGGAAACGAAGTTTACCTGTCACCTAGCCAGAAGGAAGCCTTAGACCCCGCACTGCAATTGTCCTGCAAGTATTACTGAAGGTAACATCTGAATAAATAAAAATTTTGACCGCAGCCTGGCCACTGTTGCTCAGTGATTGAGCATCTATCCATGAACCAGGAGGCTATGGTTCAATTCCCAGTCAGGGCACATGCCCCGGTCCCCAGTAGGGAGTGTGCAGGAGTCAGTGATTCTCATCATTGATGTTTCTGCCCCTTCCTCCTTCTCCTTTCCTTTTTGAAATCAATTTTTTAAAAAAGTAAATAATAAAATTTTGATCGCAATGGATTGTAATGAAATTTTTAAAAATATATTTTTGTTGATTTCAGAGAGGAAAGGAGGGGGGGGGGGGAGAGAGAGAGAGAGAGAGAGAGAGAGAGAGAGAGAGAGAGAGAGAGATGATGATGATGAAAGAGAATCATTGATAGGCTGCCTCCTGCATGCCCCACACTGGGGATCGAGCCCGCATGTGCCCTGACCAGCAATCGAACCATGATCTTCTGGTTCATAGGTCGACGCTCAAGCACTGAGCCATGCCGTCTGGGTGTAATGAAATTTTTTAAATGATTTACTTTTCACTGTGAAACCCTTAGGGTGGTCGTGCTTAAGGTCCATGCAGTGCTGGGTGGCTGGCAGCTATCATTGTTGAGTGCAGTTATTAAGTAGAATGCCCCCTCACTTCAGGCCCCCGTCTTTGTCCTAATGACAGTCAGGAAGCATGGCATTTATCATACCGATACAAAAGCTATACATAATTTAAAAACAGTGAATATATAATTAGGCAATAGAAAAGAAAGAAGCTAGATGGGGGAACATGTTATAAATGAAAAGGTTTTGAGATTTCACGAAGGGTTGAATGATGATTCCCTAAAAGAAATATCTTCCTTGAACAAGTTTGGATGATATAGTATAGCCTGTCAGACAAAAAGCCAGCTGATTACAGAGCATTTATTGACAAGAGGCCAGATTTGCTCATTATTCACACACAGAACTTGATAAATAGACTTTCTCCTGCTCAGAAACTGTGGCCTGCGTCCCACCTCGCAGAAATCCCGATCGTTCATCAGTATCAACCGCAAACGCCGCCTCCTTCATGAATCTTTCCCTGGCTCCCCCGTTGGCGATGATCTCTTCATCCTTTACACTCTGCAGCACTTCGTGCCTCTCTTGTGTCCTGGCGTGTTCTTTGCGCTGGATTATTTATAGTTATTTCTCAATTTGTTTTTTCTCTACTGCATTGCAAACTCCCTAAGGGAAGAAGGCCGCCGAATCTTCGCCTCCTTGGAAGATGTACAAAGTGCCTTGTATATAGGCAGCATCAGGAAAGATAGTTTCAATTTGGGGCTAGTTCCTCAGTTAATTTTATTTTGTAATTGGAAGAAAATACACGGTGAACATCTGTCTTGCCCCAGTGACTTGTCCAGATGCTTCAGTGAGAAAGCGGATGCTGTAAGGGTTCCATCGGCCAGAGCAGAG